CCTGGTTGTGGCCCGAAATGAACTAAGAAAGCTGAGTATAGGAATAAAAACTGGACGCGTATAGTCTGTTCTCCTTCAATGATGTTACAATGCCCATTCAGTACTATCCTTCGTTACATTCACTGATTTAATAGTCTCATCTTCAGAAGTGCTCTACTCTACCTTCAAAGCACAGTTGCAAGGTTGCCCTCTAGCATTAGCTTTAGCTTGCACATGTTTATATAATATATATATATATATATATATAATATTAACATTATTCCCAAACACTATATTTCTCACTGCGTGTATCTAAATGTCCCGGAACAATTAAAACTTTGTTCCCATTTTTGCCGGCTCAAAATGTAATATTCACTAATGTTACGTCTGCTTTACGCATTCGTGACACGAAAGTAACCCAGAGGCACCTATGAACGGTGAGGTCAAACTGGAAGAACAAACCCGTGTCCAAATCTGTTCTCTTAGCATTTTCTATTCACCTAAGATCATTACCTTTTGTTCATAACTGGGACAATCTAATCACAGCTGAATACACAAAAATATCAGTCATTTTACTGATAGATTAACGGGAGGTGTACCGAATGGTCGAAACGACCCAATTATTACAGTTGAGTAGGGATTGATTGATTTGGTTCCATTTTATGTTGCTTTTTGTCTTATCAAGAGCAACAAACTGAACTGAGCTCAGGAACCTTGCACAACTGTTTCAACCTTGAGTTCTATTAGGAGTGAGAATCCCTCGGGTCGACTGAGGGTCGAACCAATGACACAGATGTAATAATCAGTTAACCGCTAGGTGGCTGATTCAGCTGTTTATCCTAATAGCGAACGTTACTTAACTTCGCACCAGTCTATTGTGTCTCCTGGCTCAATAAAATTTCATTATCCATCCAAGCAAACATTTGAAATGTACTGATACGGTTTGACCCTATTGATAAGAAGTTCTAGGTGACCGCTTTTCGGATATTAAGTCACTTCTTTAATCTCTTCCTTCACATTGATATGCTGGTTGACGATCCGATCGCTAAAATTATATCCGTTTCCACTCGGCGGTCAAAGTTCAACCAGATTTGCCCCAGTGGCGGGTTTTGCCGGTTTTTATGAAACTAAACCCAACGTAAACATGTTTCCTGTAGACGTTTCTTGCAGTTCGGTATGTTGCCTATTCCTTATTTTTCTTATGAATCGGGAAAACTAATCTTGAACTTCAATATTATACGACATTGCTCTAATGTTCTAAGCGGCTTGTTTTCGCATCGTCCGTATTTTTTCATGCCATGATTGCTTCAATGAGCCGAGGATTATTTCATTTTAAACTGTAGGGTAGGTATCATTCTATCCCGAATTCGCATCATCTAATAGATATTTCGCTTGTCTGGTGACTTGACAACGATAAGTCATATACACACTTGTTCGAATACATGCTTCACCTAATTTTATTTCGTGAGAGTAATAGAGAATTTGGTTCAATTTCATAGGCCGAATTCGTCGTACATAGAGCAAACGAGGCATGAACTAGGAAACTAGGAAACACTTTACAGCTGTTTCAACCTGTTTGGGTCTCATCTGCAGTGCGAATCCATCGGCCCAAGCGGGGGTTGAACCTGGGACCCCACAAACAGAACGCAAGCATGCTACGAGGCAGCCGATCAGACCATTTTTCATTTTGAATATACACCATACAGCACAACCCATCTTTATGAGCTTGTTGCGGGCTACGGACCTCGCTCATCTTAGCAGTAGCCTCAGTCGATGGATTCACGCTGCTGATGAAACCCGACCAGGTCGAAACAGCTGTAAAGTGCTTCCTAGCTTTTCAGTCCCAGCTTCATTTACTCTATACGTGACGAATTCCGTCTAATTTTACTTCCTGTTTGAAATCAAGATAGCGCAGATCATGCATTTCTCTCAGCGTAATAGCACAACTGTTACATCCTGAAAATTACTTATCTGAATATATGTACTGTGCTGAACTTGCCCCACCGACAATTTTAATAAAAATGCATTAGAACGGATACATCTGATAGGCACGCTGATTTTTCGATCGCTTATGGGAACCGGTTCCCCACGTTCTGTAACTAATCATACATAATCCCACCACAATATCGTGGGTTCATGTCAGACGGCAGCGATTTGAAAGTGTTTTGTATGGTCTATTTCGAATTTGATCGTACAAAATTGTTATCGAACACCAGTGACGTACATTTCTGGGGTTCCTTGTTCCATATCACCTTTCAATCAGTATGGCACCACTGTTGTGCCAGTATCATTAGAGAATATTGCTAATCTCATTCAAAATTCGCATCGCAAGACACGACCCGTAAATTTTATCAATTCGTTCATTCTCAAGTGTCATCGCCATCGTGATGCGGACGTTAGGACGTTATTCACTCTAGTTGACTGTATTGTATTTCCATATTAGATGTCTCATTCAAACTGCACATATATGTTTTTTTACTCCCACAGTTCGCATTGTGCTGTCCGCCGTTAGGGTGGGGGGAGGGGCTGCATGTAAGAGTTTTCATCGAAATGAGCATTCATTCGAAGTTGAAAAGTTAGGGTGTGTGTAGTTGCCATAATCAATTAGGTCTAATCAACCCAATTTGGAAACTGAAATGTTCCGACAAGGGATCCACGATGTTACGATACTTGCATAACGTGTGCTTGTGGATTTTTGTTCGTGAAAGGTTTATCATGAATATTTGAAACCACAAGCCTATGATCAGTTTTCAGTTGAATATCTCAATTTTATGCTCCCAATCGCAAACGTTTGTACGAATGAGGAACTCATATTTGCCATTTTGCGTAAGGTCCTACGTTGTAAGATAAAATACGTTGATCGTGCTCTGTTTTATGATCCAATCTGTGACGCGATTAGGCGGATGATCATCGATGGGCCAATGGGTACAAGCTTATCAGTTATCTCCCGATTTCCAGTGGAGCTGAACATACCTCAGTGAGTTTCGTTCTGCCGTAAAACGCAAGACTCACACCAAAATTGGACTTCTCAGGTAGAAAACAATCGGTCGAAAATACCAGAAAACTCTTCATCTGTAGTATTGCAGAAGATCGGTTAAATAATAACCTGCGATCCAGTCGTCATGCAAAAATGGCTATCATGGCTTCTCTCATAGGCAAAGCGAAGTCACTTGTATGTTAACGTGAAAATACTCTAAGTTCACCCCGCTCTGCGTTGTCGTTTTCATTTGGCTCTGTTGTGCTTGAAGACAAAGTCAAGTTGAAGAGATCTTGTGAGAGGCACGAAAGAATTCGGTGGTTGCTAAAAGCTCAGTGATCGATAACCTTAGATGCACTTTCCAACATGCTTGGCTCGAATAATAGTTCTATCAGTAGATGTCACTCTGTTAAACAGTTTATACTCATGTCGCGTGTTTCCGGTGCGTAGTCGTAACAGGACAGCTTGGGGACTATTCAGTGATGTGCCCATATGTGCATTTGTTTCATCTGTTGAACAATAAAAAGTTCGGCTGGTTGGGCGCCAACCACGATGCTTCTATTAGTTTTGTAATAGCCGCATCGGGTACACTTTAAAACTACAATAATCAAACCTTACTGACGCTGCACGTTTTTGAACGTTGTGGTTTTTGTGTGAAGAAAACCGTTGGTTGTGCTTCAAATGTGGTACAAAACAAGTGTCTGTCAAAATCGCCAACAGTGACACAATGAGTTCTCACCAG